TATTTAGAGAGCACTTTGAGATCTCTGGATAAAGGCTGTTTTTTGTTTATTTTTTGTAAGGATATTATTACTGCATTCTTAGCTTTCATTTTGTAAGTTGAGTCCCAGAGTTAAAAGGAGCCCTTTCTGATGCTCTGCACACATTTTATTTCTGTGAAACTCTGGCTGCTAGTGTCAAATGCCAGCATATTCACAGGGCACAAACCATCTGCTTTTGCTGAAACTAAATATTCCTGTGTTTACTTAGGAAAATGGATACAGACATTTTCAGTTCTCACAGCTGTTCCTCCCTGGGAAAGAGGAGGGCAGGAACATTTTTGTTCTCCAGTGCAGAGGAACAGTAAGCTTGACTGACATTCCCCAAACTGAGGTCTGCAGATCCTGCAGGCCCAAATTATTTGCCTTGTTTTGCTTCAAAGTCCTTCCCCCTCCCTTGCTTAGGGAGTAATGCCACAGCAGGTGTTGCGAATTTCTGATAGTTTGTGGGCAGTAGGACAGGCTGCCAGGGGAACTGAGATTGTATCATGCGCTAATAAAAATAATAAAAAACTTCTCGCACTTTTAAATAGTTCTGACACTGAGCGATGAAGTAATCTGTGATATGTAGTGCTGTATGTGCTTTACCTTGTGGTTTCACATGTGGCTCCTGGAGGCTCTCCGTCATGCATTCAAGGCAGAGCTGATCTTGCTCAGCCTGGAACTACTGGGATAGGGCAGAAGTCTCTGCTCTTTACAAAACGAGACTTTCAAGTCAGATTGAAATTCCTATTCTTTTTTTATTATTTTTTTTCCTTTAAAAAAAAAAAAAAAACCTTTTTCATCAGTGGTCCTTGAAATCATCAAGCTGCTTTCTTGGTTTACTTGCAGAGAAAATAAGGTAACATCCAGACCTATTCTGCCCTTTCAGTGTGCTTAGGAGGCAATCAGAACATGCTACATTCACAGGAACCAAGGGTCAATATGAATCTACAGAAAAAGTCTTTTTCATAAAAAAAAAAGTCATTACTAAAGCTTTGATGATTATGGCAAATGCATCTGAATATCAAACAAAGACCTCATAATGTGTTTCAAATATTTCAGTTATGTCTCTTCATTACCCGGAGAGGCTCACATATGTTATTATTCCCATTTTACAAATGTGGGAATTAAAACTGAGAGCTCACCAAAGGTGCCCAGGTAATTGTGAGTAAATGTATGACAAGAATCTGCGGAGGGTGAATCTCAGTTACCTATTAGCTCTTTGAAGTGGAAAAAGTGTAAAATGTATGTAGAATATTTACAACATATTACTTTAATAATACCCTGCCTCTTTGACTCTATTAATATATAACTATTTCTACAAACTATAATAGCTCCGTCAAGAGGGATGGACCAACTCTATCACTGAACGATTAGGGTAAAGTTTTTTGCATCCTGGGTACATGCCTCTAAACTCAAACCACTGTTTATTTTGGGACCCTCCTCCTCCTGCTCTAATTTCTCAGGAAAGTTGATTTCAGCTCTCTGTAGAAGAGCAATATATTTTTAAAATCTTGAAAAGAATATAACATAAACTACTGTTTACTCAGCTTTAGTGCAAATACTGAGAAAGTGAGAAAAAGGGTCAGAAAGAGCTACAGAGTCAGACCTGTTTGGCTTTCTGCACCTGTGTCTGAAAGTAAACTTTTGGAACAAAATAGTGCTAATTTATCTGAAGTGTTTGTCTATTTTGAGAGCACCTGGATGCAGTTTCTTGCCACTTCTGGTTAAAAAAAAAATACAAAATAAAATAAAATAAACAGGACCTGTGGATATTTTGTAAGCAAACTGCCTTGAGAAAACAGGTGACTTTGCTGATTGGGATCACTAACTCCTGTTGCAAGTCAGAAACTGAACAAGGCCACTGAGGAGGCAGCAGTGCTTCAGCTGTCACCGCCCAGAGAGAATATGCTCCTAATTACATGATGGAAAACCAACTGTGTGGCCACACAGCTACTCCCACCTACACAGCAGCCACAGCCAGCCCTAAGTTAAGCTCAGCAAGGGTGATACAACACGTCAGAAATAAGCTGTAGGGACTGGAAAGGTGTCAAAATGTCCCATGTGCTTTCAGTCAAGTAACTGAGGACAGACCAAGCAGGACAATGCAGCTGGCGCCATGGTTTCTGAAAGCAGCGGTTATGATGTCACAGTAAATAACTTAAAAGTGCACATCATGTGCCAGCCTTAAAGAGGAACAAGTGGTCACCATGGTGGCTGAGCCTATGTAAGGTAACCAGAAAAGAGTAGGAAATATCCGAGATGTTGACGCAGTGCTCTGTAGCTGGGGCACAAGTGTCTCTGTAGCAAAACAACTGAGAACTTGTGTCTGGAGAACCACAGTTTAGAGAGCAACTCTTACTAACCTACAATTTCATGCCAACTTATTTGGAAATCTCTGTTGTTCAAGTCTTATATTCAGCAGAATAGCACTGAATTAAAGGACACCTCAAGACAGCATGTGGTTACAGAGAGGAAAGTTGGCATGCAGGGTACTTAGGGTAAATGGCACTGAGACCGAGTGGGAGAAAGTTGGCAGCAAAGCTGTGTTTGTGGACATAAGAGGAAATTTCAAAATAACTGAAAGGAAATTTAGAAAGATGAGCATTATTAATGAGAATTTGCCAAAGCATCAGCAACATTCAGCTCCTCCTGCTTCTTAAATCACCAGATCTTTGGTCTGTACCTGTGTATGCTGTAATGTCAGAAATTCCTGAACATCTCCCCTTGATCAAAGATGATGTAATCAGTCTGCATTAAATACTTCTTTCTGAGTTGTAGAAGACAACGGGCCTTCATTCTCTGATCTTTTCATTCTACTTGCTGCAATGGGATTATGCCACTATAAACCACAGAATCTGTCGAGTTTTATGCCCCAAGTAAGAAAGTCACATACTCATTTTCCTGCTCAAGCTACGAAGAAAGCAGGGGGCATGCTTTGCAGAGTTCTGCTGCACAGCGAGGGACAGCGACTGTCCTCCCCTCTGATGGCCCACGTGCAGATGGGGAAGGAAACGCTGCCCCTCCAGCCCCGTTCCTGCCGCACAGGTGCGTGGAGCAGGAGAGAAGCCTCAATATGGTGTGGGAACCAAGACACAGCAGAGATGGGAGCCAGGAGGTGAATGGGGAGGTGTCATACTTCCGATGCCAAGGGTAGCACCAGCGGGCTTCCCTCATCATATAACGATGCCCCTCGTTCACCCGAGCATAACTGAGAGAGTTATGCTTGTGCCAGACGTCCTCAAGAACGCAACGTCAAGAGTGATATATGTCGTTGTGGGTTCAGATATGATGTGGTCAAATTAAACAAGAGACGGGCAGAGGATCTACAAAGGAAGAAGTGGGGTATTTTCCCAGCCTCTATTGCAGCATGTTCTGTTCCACGGCATCTGCTTTTTAAATTATTTTGATATCATGATATGCTGCTGAGTTGTTTCTGGAACATGCTGACATGCCTAGTAAAAACAGTTGTTAAGGAATTATGTTTTGCTCAATATATCTGAAAGTTGTGCATCTTCTGGAGCTTTTGAGGACAAATTAATTGTATATTTATGTCACAGGGAATGATAATTTCGTATCCCTATTCTGTTGTCAATGCAGAATGTTCTACGATAATGTACTATTATGTTTGAACTTGATGTTGCAGTGGCTTAAAATAACCTTCACAGCACTTCAGTAGTGTGAAATGAAACTGGGACGATTCCTAAAAGCTCAGGAGAGACCATGTATCTATTAGTTTTGGCAGGAATGAAGTAGTAAGGGTAAGGAAGATCCTTTTAAGAGCTGAATAATTGCTTTTCCTAGTTTAACAAAGAAATGAAAGACAAAGCTTTGATGTGCTATTTAGATTTTCACCACTGTCAGAAACTGGAAAATAAGGATATGTGTATACTTTCAGCAGACAAGTCGGAATTGTATTTCCATGTATGCTGCCTACGAAAGGAGATACAAAATAAATTTTCTTCTCTGGAGTTTCTTCCTCTTCCCTCAGTGAGTCCAAGTGAAACTTTATTATCATTGCCTACGTATTTCAAAAGAGTGCTCTTTTACCTGGCTGTCTGGACACCTACCAGTGTCTGACGCCTAATCACTGCCCCGCCTCGTCCTAATTGCTTTTGTTTTTCTCATCCTCATTTTCTCCTAATCAAGAGATAAAAACTAGGTTTTGAAATTACTACAGGTGGCAGGATTTTGCTGGCTTGTACAGACGGATGGAGAAAATCACATTTGAGCTCATCGAGAGAAGTTCTACATTGACACCTGTATTTAGACATATAAATAAGTGGCCTGTTTTTTGTGTTTGTTTTTTTTTTTTTTTTTTAATAACATCTGGAGGTTGGTTGGTGTGAGGGACGAGCCAGTCACCGTACATATTTTGTATGTGCGTGGTTGTCTGCTGTCCTGCTTTGCTGCAAGTTCTCACCTACATTTTAGAACATTTTTCTGTCCATTCAAGGCAAACAATGGTTGACAAAAGTATGTAAACTAACGTGCTTTTTGAGCACTCATATATGTGCATATATATATTTCACATATATATATGTGAAATATATATATATTCAATAGATATATGTGAAATATAGATTTATATATATATATATATATGTGTGTGTGAAATCCCCAAAAAAGCACGTCAGCAGGTCTGGCCACAGTGACACAAACACACGTTAATTACGAGGTTCTTGACAACTGCGTTAAGAGCAGGGCTACGAAGAGCACAGTTCCAGTTCTGAGAGATTATAATTATTTTATAATTATTTTTAATACATATTTTCAAGAATTTTCTTTTCCATTTCTTTTTAAATAAACTGGGAACCAGCAGCTGAGGGGGGAACCCCCTCAGCGCCCTGCCGGTGGCCGTTACCAGACCCCACAGGGGATCGGCGGCGCCGTGCGCATGCGCCCCGCAGCCCGCCAGCCCGCTCCGGAGCCTGCGCGGCGGGCGGAGGGGGCGCGCAGTGCGCATGCGCGGCGGCTGAGGCGGGGGCAGGCGGGGCGGGTAGGAGGGGCGGCCGCTTCGCCCCGCTACGGCCGTGAGGGAGCGGCGGCGGCGGCGGCGCTCGGGGCTGCCAGCGGGGGCGGGCGGCCCGAGGGGACCGGAGGTGCTGGTGGTGGCCGCGGGGGGTGGGGGGAGCCGTCGGTGCTGCGGCCGCCGCTCCCCGCTCCTCCCCTCCTCCTCCTCCACCTCCTCCTCCTCCTCCTCCTCCTCCTCCGTGAGGCGCCCTCCAGCCCGCCCTCTCCCCGCCCGGGACCGAGCGCGGCGGCCACAAAATGGCGGACGGGGAGCTGAACGTGGACAGCCTGATCACACGGCTGCTGGAAGGTGAGCGCCGCTGGCCGGGCACCGGCAGCCCCCCGGGGGATGAGGGGAGCCTGCGGGGACCCCCGGGGGGGAGGCGGTGAGGAGCCCGGTCCTCGCCCGGGGCACGGGGAGCCCGCCCGGCCCTGCGCGAAGTGCCTGTGGTTGTGTGGAAAATAAAAGAAGAGCGATAAAAGGGCGAGGAGGAGGCCTGCGGCTGGAGCTGGCAGCACGGAGGGAGCTGGTGTTGCCTGCCTGCCTGCGGGGCAGCCGCCCGGGCTCGTCTGGGGCCGTGAAGGGGCTGGGGGGGGTCCTGTGAAACGAGGGGGCTGACAGAGCCCCGCTGCTGGGGGGCACAGGGGTCCCCTCTTCCCTTTTACATAAGTTATGTCCTGAGTGTCTGGTGTTCCCAGGCCTGTGCTGGCATTAATCTTCCTTCCCACATTCAACAAATACCTGGTGTGCTGGGGATGCGAGTGCGCGCACGGAGAGATGTGCTGCTCGCCTGCTTGCCACAAATGGAGATACCAACTTCGCGTATTTGGGTCGCTCTGCAGAGGGCTTATGGAAAAAAAAATGCACCTACGGTTCTGGAGGAGAAATGTGCTTTATAAGTCTGAAAGTTTTGTCTAGCTGAGTTATCGCTCAGCAGAATTTTTAAGGCGTTGAGGGTGTCTTTGTAATTGCTGTTGTTTTTAGAAGTGGGACTGTAATTTATAAACAGTAAAATCAATACTTTAAAATCCACAAAGGCTTTGGCAGCTGCGGTCATGTTTTTGTTTCAAGATACGTGCTGTAGTGTATGTAGTATGGAAAGAACCATCGGGGATCATCAGTCAGAGTTTATCTCTGATCAGTATTGCAGATAAACTTCCCATTTTCTGGATGTTGAAATCCGGATTAGTAGGTCAGTTTCAGACAAGCAAAACAGAACCTAGTAAACATTGACTTTCATTGCACGTATTTCTGGGGACTTCACAATGAATAAGTATGGTGTCATAGGGTTTTTTTGATTACTTTTTTTTTTTTTTGTAGAGACACCTGAATTGTCAAGAGGTACTTTACTCCCTTGCTCTTCTGGTAGTTGCTTAAATACAGAATGGTTTAAGAGGAGGCGATCAAGACTTAAAGTACTCCATACCTTTTGCACACACCATTACTACTGGTGTTGCAGCTCAGTATTTTTTTGGTTATGGTTGGTTGCAGCGAGACTGAGCGATCTGACCCGTGCTTTCTATTTTTTCTTGTATTTTTGCATCTGTTTTTCAGTCTTTCTTGCTCTGAGCAGATTAGGAAGGCTCTTTTTAGGAAAACAAGATGACTTTTTTCTGCTTGTCAGCTACAAACAGTTGTAGGAGTTGTAGGAGTGCCTTGTACAACATCTTGTATCTGAAAGGGAATAGATTCTTCCAAGTTGCATTTGGAAGGAAAAAAAAAAAACAAAGCACTAAAATGAAGTGTATTGCGACTGGATTATTTTTGCTTCCATTTAACATTTTTTAGTTGTTTTACTGCTAACATACAGTATTTTAAGCTGTGGTTGAATAGTAGTGTTCCACAATGAATTCTTTTTGTATGGTTGGCAGCTCACAGACCATAGCTTATGCTGTTGCTTAGCTGACCTGTTCTGGTAAAGTGAGTATGGATCCCTCTTCGTGCTGCTTGCGCAGAAAAATTCCTATAGGCTTTTATCTCTGGAGCAATTAATTAGTTAAAAGTATGTTGGCTCCATTACTCTCACTTCAGTTTGGACTAAAACAATGAGGAAACACGGCTTTTAAGTGGTAAACAATACACGTTAAAAAATCAAACGTATTTTTTATGAAATGTTAGCAGGCAGTTTGTGTTTGGTCCTTTTGGTTACTTAAAGTGAAATGGATAGCTTTCAGTTTGAACAGCAATTGTCTCAGTGGCTGCTGCACATAAATTTTAAAGGTAGCAAATACGCAACAAAACTGCAACAGGAAACTTTCCAGTTGTCATTGGGCTGCTGGTTCGTGACCCTGTTTCTGTGCTGTGGTACTAGCTCTTATGTTGTCTTCCTCTTCTTTAATTGGGTTGCTCTTGACTGTTTTTACTGTGGTTGCTCGAGACCACTTGCCTTTTGATTGGAGTTACCTACATAGATCATCTTACCCTCCATGTGGTTCTTTTTTTATTTTTGAGACATCAGTATGAGGTGGCTTATAGCCAGGCTGCTTGGGAGAATTAATTGAGAACGTCCTCCTAGCCCTCACCAGATGTGCATGCGTGCTTATCCTGAACATATATTTATTTTAGAGACCTTTTGCGTGCTGGAAGCCAGACTGATTAGCTCTCGAGTTAAACTAGGGACAGTTTTCGGAGAGGCTCAACTGAGACTAATACGTGATGATAGTCTCCTAAGACTCTAGTTTTTCATTTCCATGTTCTTGCATATTACTGAGTTCTAACCTTTTTATTCATTAAATCAGTATGAATTTAGGAATGCTAAGGGCTTGTTATGCATTGACTTTCTTGTACAGTATGTCTGGTGTTGGGTTACTAGTTAATGGCACTGTATAAATAACTTTTTTATTTGGAGGAAAATAAAGCTGAAGTGTATAATGTATGCTTAAAGACTGAAGGTAGCAATGTTCTCCTTTTTTCTTCTATCTCCAGACTTTCCATTCCTGCTTATTTACTGGAAGAATGAGGGAGGTGCTGGTTCTTCTAGATGTGTGCCTGATCTTGGAGATACTTTTGGCTTGTAATAAGATTTAGTTTGATAGAGAAATCATGTATCAATGGATCTGCAACCATTTACAGGTCACGTAACCACAAAATTCTGTAGGTTAGTGAAAACATTCAGGCTATGTGACCACAAAAGGGAATAAACTGAATTAGCCCTAGGACTGTTTTTCTTGTGCAAGTATTTAGAGTTGTAGTTGTGGGTCAGGCACAGTTAAGCTATGGTGTACAAAAAGATGATCGCCTCTTTTTAGCTTTAGTGTGCTGTTTTGTTGTGTGTTTTTTTTCTTCCTACCTTTCCAGCTATGCCATCTGGTGGATGATCTTCAGGTCATGCACAGGAGCACACACACAACTGTCAGCAGCACAAAAGATGTGGAACGTGCTGCACTGTGCCCCGTCCAGGCGCACCGTGTATCCCTCGGTGGGAAATGCCATGATGTTTGGAGAAATGCTGAGCTAAACTGGCACAGCAGGCTTACATTTAAGCCAGGCTCTAAGCTAGTTTAAGCTTTGGAAATCTGTGGAAAATTCCCTGTGTAGCAAAGCAAGAGTGCTGGAGTAGCTGTGCCTCCTCTTGTAAGGAGTGCTGTAGGTGAAGATAGACTGCTGGGTTTCTGTCTGGGTGCTGGGCTTCCTGGTTTGTGCCATGAATGTCTTTTAAATACCTCCAGGTGGACTGGACTTCCTGTACTTTCAGATATGTCGGTATCTGTCTTGGTAAACAGTAAGGAGGTTATCATGTGGAAGGGAGGTCATGAGGAAACACTGAGACACAGTAGCCTTAAAAACAAGCTGGATTTCTGTGAAGAAGGCTTATTTATATTGCTGTACAAGCTAATTTACCTTGGCTAGACAAAGCTAGACTCTAAGTCTGTCTAACCTATTAAATAATGATCTGAATTCAGTTAGTGGAACGTAATGTGGGTTTGCTCTAAAACAAAATTATGTTTTGGTGGGGCTGGCAGGGCTGCTAGTTCTGATAGTACCGAACCCACCCCGAAGGCTGGGAGATACTCATCCAGTAAAAGTCTTGTCAAACATGCAGCAGATGTGGAGAATGGATGTTGCTGCAGTGTTCAGCTAAAAACACAATTTTTGCGGCTGCCATAATAAAGGCCGGTTGTGTGGTGCTCTTACTGTGTCATGTGATGATTTTTAAGAAAGCTACAGCCCTTGGTTTCTTCTGAATGCAGAGGTCTCACAGACAGTGACAAAGACTGAAGTTTGAATATGACTCAGTTTTTCAGATGAAAGATTAAATGCTTATGAAACTTGAGATTTAAATGCTGCAGAGCTGTTGGGCTGATGCATGATGGTCAGTAATATTTCAGATGTTGGATCTTAACAAATGAACCTGCCCAGCCTGTGTGATGGTCTGTGTTGTAGCATAGTGGTGCTGGTGCTTCTGCAGGCTTTGTAACTGATCCTGGCAGAGAGGCAGCTGCAGGGAAGAGTAGTCCATGCGGGCTAGCCCTGGCTGGCGGCTCAGCACCACCCTGCTGCTTGCTCAGTCTCTCTGGGTGGGGTAGGGAGAGACCCGTAAAGGTGAAAGTATGAGAGAACTCCTGGGCTGGGATGAAGACAGTTTACTGGGCAAAGCAAAAGAAACAGGCAGGACCATTTGCCACTTCCCATCGGCAGGCAGGTGTTCAGCCAGGTCCAGGACAGCAGGGCTCAGCATGTCATGGTTTCTTGGGAGGGCGACACCATCACTCCAAAGACCTCCCCCTTCCTCCTCCTTTTCCCAAGGTCTTACCACTGAGCACAACTCCACGTGGTGTGGGACATCCCTTTGGTTGGCTGGGGCCAGCTGTCCTGGCTGTGTCCCCTCCCAGCTCCTGGTGCACCCACAGCCTGCCAGGCTGGCAGGGCAGCACCAGGAGCAGAGATGTCCTTGGCTCTGTGCAGGCACCACTCTGCAACAGCTAAAACATCGGTGTGGTATCACCTCTGTTCTCATCAAAAATCCAAAACACAGCATCACGTGAGCCTCTGTGAGGAAAACTAACTCCATCCCAGCCAAAGCCACGACAGTGATTCACTGCAGAATAGCACGAACACGCTGTGGAGGTGAGTGTTGAAAAACTACAGGTTACTACCTTGATATGGTGCGGCATCCTTCGATAACCCTTGTATTAAGAAAACAAAGATGAACAACTCAACAAGGAGTTTTTAGCAGTGGAAAGATTTTTTGAAACAGTCTCTTTGAAGAGAGAAACTCTTGTTTTTAGCTGTCTGTTCCTTGGAGGGTGTGCCCTGTGTTAAACAGGGAGAAGGGGCAGAAGGAAGAACGGTGTTTGTTGCTGGGCTTG